TGAGTCTCTTCACCTTCTGGGATACCAATTATCTGGATGTTTTGACGTTTGATGCTATCTAGTATTTCTCATATATTATTCTCATCTTGGAGGAGGCAATTTTCTCAGTATTCATGGTGGATTTTTCTAGGCCAACAATTCTGTCTTCTACATCTGAGATTCTATTTTCTGTATGCTCTAGTCTGCTTTTAATACTTTCAAGAGAGATTTTGACTTCCTGCATTATAGCCTTCATCTCTAACAGGTCTATTTGATTCTTTTTTATAGTGTGCTTTTTCCTCTTTTAGATCCTGCAAGAATTTCCTCACCTCCTAGAACTCATTGACTCCTTTCTCCTGCCTCTTCTGCAGTTCATTGTCTTTCTTCTCTTCCATCTCTGATAGCTTTGTCATTATGAATATTCTAAATTCTTTATCAGACATTTCCATGAGTTTCATTGTACTGTCTGAGGATGAAGAGGAGTTATTCTTTTCCCTTGGAGAAGAGCTATTTTCTTGCTTTTCCGTATTTCTTGTGACCCTGTAGTGGTTTTAGTCATCTGATGGGTGGTGTGTTTCTTCCTAATTCTTGAACTTCAATCTGAGTGTTCAGAGGTGTGCAGAAGGAGGTGATCTGCAATCTCTCTTCTGTTCCATTTTCACGCTTTGTATATCAGATTCAGTGAGAATAGATGATATTCTGACCTTAATCATATTCAGATATTTAATGTTTGGATCCTGTTCACTTGGACCTGTCTAGACAGTGCATAGAGGCTGAACAGCCAATGAATAAAGATTAAGAAAAAATGAAAAAAAATAGAAAAGAAGAAAAAATGAAAAAGGATTTAAAAATCATAAAAAACATTAGAGTTTAATTTTAAAAAGAAAAAAATGAAAACCGTGCGGTGTGTGTACAATATGTCACAGCTCGAATTCAGTATCCATCTCAGGATGGGACTGGCCTGGGTTTGTGTCTTTCCTAAATGAAATGGGGAAAGGAAGCAATTAGCACAATAAAAGAAGGACTTAAGAGCCCAGAGAATACTTTACCTTAAAAATTTTTTTTTTTAATTAAAAAATTAAAAGTCACAGGATACACAATGAGACAGAGAGGCAGAAAAATGGAGAGAAGGAGACAGAGGTGGCCCTACCCACTAGAAATGATTCTGGAGGGGAAGTCTCAGCAGAAAATCTTTATTTTTGGTCAAGAAAAGCAATATTTCACAGCTCAAGTTTGGTATCCATCTCAGGATTGAGACATTGAAATTTTTACTGAGTAGGATGACTGATTTGTGAGATGACTGATTTTGTATTTGACTTCATAAATGTTTAGGATTGGATAATATGGATATTTGAAAATTAATAGTTTAAAATATATTTTAAATTCTTCATTAATCTGTTAAAGAGTTGCCAATGGAGCTCTGAATATGTTTCTTTTTTCAAATTTTTGTTAAATTTTTTTTATCAGACTTTTGTTTTTCAAAGTCAATATTCTGGCACAATCTATATAAATACCATTCTCTTCTTTAAGTGTACATCTTTTAGATTTTTGGAAAGCTATGTGTTTGACACACTAATGTAATTGTAAATTTAGTCTAGTGGCATAGTTACTCTAAGATGATTTCTTTGTCCCATGTCTTCAAAAGAGCTAGCCTTGCTACCCTAACTTTTATGTAATTACGTGTTTTTTCTTGAAATAAATTTTGTTTGGGGAAAGTGCTATGCCATGGGACAAGGTATTTTCAAAATGGGTTGCTTTTTTATTAACAGCAATATAAAACGTATAAACTTTGATCCTCTTGCAGCCTCAACTATAACCCTAATAAATTTTCAATAAGCCTTTGTTGATCAACAGCGTGGCCAAAGGCTCGCCACCCAGGTCCAATTACTTGTAAAGAAAAACTGGAAGCATGAGTTCATGTTGCCTTTGTATAAGCCGCAAAGAACATAAAGAAATCATCATATGGAAGAAGGTAATTCATAGGCTCATGCTTCCTAGCTATTTTTTCTTATTTAGTAACCAAGTTTGTGTATTTAATTCTGAAATGAGATTAGTATGATAAACATATCCTTTTCAACTCTTTTGTCTATTTTCGTTCAATACAGATTCATAATTCAGGCCGTCTTTTTTCTTGAAATAACTACCACCTAGTGGGTTGTCTGAAAAGTCATGCATTTTTGCATAGAAAAATGTAGAAAAGTACATCGTGACTTTCCTGATGACCCAATAGGTGATTCAAAGTTCTGCCACTTGAAAGAATTTCTTGGCACCATTCTCTTTCAGGGACCTCCCTGAGCAGGGTTGGAATACAGGACTCATTTACTGTGGACTGGTGCCTGCATGGTTTTCAGAACCATGTGGAAACTAAACTAAACTTTTTCCTCTGTTAGTAGGTTAGGTGACTCTCCATGAGGCTCTTGGTGTGTGTTGAGGGAGAGGTAATGAAGCACTAAAATGTGGTATGACCAGGACCTGCAGATGACATAATGGTTATGTCACTGAACTCCCACGTAGTCAACCACAGTTTGTGTCCCAGACCCAGTGGCTTAAAACTCACTCCAGAATATTGTGTGTGGGTGCCCAAAATCCTGAGAGGAGAATGGAGGAGAAGGGATTGTGGCATGGTCATTCCCCCTTGGGGGGGGGGTTGATTTATTGCTTTTCATATTTCCATCTCTTTCTGTCTCTCTGGCAGGGGCACATTCCCTGCCAAAACAAGCAAGCAAACAAACAAACAAACAAAACAAAAACAAAAACAAAAACTCTCTCTGAAAAAAAATGTGGTATGACCAAAGTTTGAACCACATGCTTATAGAATTTATTTGACCCATTCAGCCCTGCCTAATTCTGGTCTTATGTAAAGCATATTCATTTTCTAGTGAAACATGGTTACACAAAACCAAAATTATAAATGTGGTGGATAATAGAGCACTCAGCTCATAAATGGCCAGTTAGATTATGTAAACATTTAGTATCCTATAGGTAGACCTTAATTTATATGGAAACCTAATAACCACAAGTTAAAGTCATTGGGAGTCTATGGCATTATCTGCCCCCAAATTCTTAGGGGCATGTGTTGTGGATCTCTTGATGACAGTTACCTAGAAGTCAATAAAGCATTATTGACAAAGCTCAAACGATGGTACTGTAGACCACAACCCAGCTTAGTAGCAGAGATCTTTCTTACTTGAGGCCTTACTCAAAACTGTTGTTCTTACTGGTTATCTGGCAATTGGTCAGAATACCCAAATGTGTATGTGTCCATAAAAATACAAAGGGGTCCACCAAGTGCTAAGATTCAGCAACTGTCTTTATAGGGGTCTCTCTCTCTCTCTTTTTTTTGAGAGATTTTTTGCTATAGGGTGTGTGGGCTTGCTGGAGAGACAGACAGAGACAGAAAGTGAGAAATCACCATCCTTCCAGGAGAGATGGCCACACCACAGTCCCTTCTCCTCTTGGGATTTTGGGCACACATGCACATGCACCCGGTGTAAGTTTTAAGCCACTGGGTCCAGAACTTGAACTGTGGTTGACTATGTGGAAGTCCAGTGACATAGCCATTACACCATCTGCTGGTCCCCTATGGGGAATCTCTTGACATATCTCAAACCATTGGATGTCTAGAAAGTTTGCCCATATGGCAGGCCCATGACAGCTGACATGGCTCTGCATGCTCGGGCACATTCATGCCATATAGAATGCTTGTTCTTTCCCTGTGACTAAGTTTAATTAATTTCACCAATTGTATACTTCATACGTAATATAAACTGATAGACCTTTGGTATATCAATGTGGTCAGTGTTTCTACAGATATTTTTACAAAAGGGAGCTCAGTCTTCAGGCTAGTCAGTGGTTAGTCACTGCTGTCTCTGCTACGTGACCGAAAGCTCTTTCTTATTATTTCTATTCATTGCAGTTATAAAGAAAAGATTACTTGATCAAGAAGATTTAGAGGAATTTTTTTCTTCAGGTGACTTAACGTCCCCTCAGTCAACGGTCTCTGAGTCTGCAAACTATTAGTTTTTGTTCACTTGCTTTCTTATTTGTTTTATAAGGAAATTCTGGTTCCCACTGTTAAGGAAGATCCAGGGGCATTTGGAAACTAAATTCTCAGCCTCATTTCTTCTCCAAACTTCCTTCTTAAGTCTTTTTAGTCCTACACTTTCTTAAATAGTGTGTTTATATTAGTCTAAGAAGCCTTGGCCAGGGCAGTAGTTGGCTTAATGGCTGTGTCGCTGGACTCCCATGTAGTCGACTGCAGTTCGAGTCCCAGATCCGGTGGCTTAAACTCAAGCTGGGTGCATGTGCATTCATGTCCAAGATCCTGAGAGAAGAATGGAGAGGAAGGGACTGCTATGTGGCCATCCCTCCTGGGGGGTGATTTCTCACTTTGTCTCTCTGTCTCTCTGATGAGTGCACATGCCCTATAGCAAAACTTCTCCAAAAAAGAAGAAGCCTTTGGAGTTGAGGCTGCCTGGTACTGGGGGTCTGGCCCTGTCTCTGGACAGATGCGTTAACACTCGAACCGCGACACTGTGATGCCCTCCCACCTCCCACCTCTCTGTCCTCCCTACTGCCACCGTCTCAGCTAAATTCCACAGACATTTCATCTCGGGGACCTTTCTCCTCCACTGACTCGCCATCCCACGTCATGGCGGGTGAGAATTCGCGTTGTCATGCTGCCCTTGCATGCCGTAGGTCACCAGAGTGCCGTGGCCCCTTGGCAGGAGTTGCTACTGAACTCCGCAACCAGGAGTACAGCCCAGCTCCAGAATCATCCTAGTCTTTCCCGCGGGCACGCCTTCACCTACATTTATCAGGATCCTGGCAGGAAGCAGATGGCACCATTAAAGAATTTAACTAAAAATAAATAATAAAAGCATTATTTATTGAAATGTGCAGCACTGAAGGATCCAAAGTGGGATAGTGATGCATCCAGGCTCATAGCAAGAATCCTTTATTACACCTGTGAGAGGAAGGGAGGGGAGGAGAGGGCAGGTGGTTACAGGAGCTGCATGAAAATGAGCCATGGAAGAAAATGCACAGAAGAAAGGAAAAGCTTCCTGTACAGGAAAGCAGCCGCTGCCACGACCAGAGTGCGGGAGGGCCGGGAGGGCCGGGAGGGCCGGCAGGGAGCCCGTCGTTCCTTCCTCCTGCCTTCTGGTCTTCTCACGGCGGTTTCCCTGGGGGCACCACAGGCGCCTGGTGTTGGGACCATCGAGTCTCACCTCAGGAAGAATCAGTCTGGGGAGGTCACAGAGGGTAACCGGGGCCTAAGGAGATTACTCTTGAGGGAGTAATGGTGAAGGGGGAAGCTCTTAAGATCCCAAGTGAGATGTAATGCTGCCATGTCACTGGTTCTGACAGTGTTTCTATTTTTTGCCATTGAGATTCTCTGAAATTGCAGTTCATCTTAAAATGTATATGAGAGTTTTTTGGGGGGTTTTTAGAGAATATTTTTGCTATAGGGTACGTGCACTTACCAGAGATAAAGAGAGAGACAGAAGAAATCACACCCCCACCTCCCCCGGGATGATGGCCATGCTACAACCCTCTTGCCCATTCTCCTCTCAGGATCTTGGGCATGCATGTACATGTGCCTGGCATGAGATTTAAGCCACTTGGGTCTGGGACTCAAACTGAGGTCGACTACATGGAGTCCAGTGATGTAACCATTACACCATCTGCTGGCCCCATTACAAGTGTTTTCATCACGGTATCCCTTTCTTTCTTCCTTTCTTTTTTTAAACACAGATTTTTTACTGTAGGGCACATGTGCTCACTGGACATATGGAGAAAGACAGAGAGACAAAAAGTGAGAAATCGCCGTTTAGGGGAATGGCCACACCATAATCCCTTCTCCTTCATTCTCCTTTTGGGATTTTGGGTACATGTGCACACACACCCAACGTGAGTTTCAAGCCGCCAGTCCAGGACTCAAACAGTGGTCAACTATATGGGAGTCCAGCAACATAACCATTATGCCATTTGCTGGTCCCACAGTATTCCTTTCTTAAAGGAATATAAAATATGGACTGTTCCACCAGCCCTGTGCCTGATAGTTAGGAAAGCTGGATCCCACATGTCAACTACACAGTTCAGGGCTGGCCCAGCAGCTCAAAAAATACTCTGGGAATGTGCACACGTGCACAGGATCTTAAAGGCTTGGAGGGGTGGAGCAGTAGGGGAGAAGGATGGTGCATGACCTCTCCCTATTGCGTGTGCTTTCTCCCTCTCTGGCAAGTGCACATACCCTTTAGCAAAATAATAAAAATAATAAGTATTATGATCAATGTTTCCTTAGAATCAATATAGAGAAAGATACAGGTATTGCAGAAATAGAATTCCTCCACCTTGCACTAAGTAAGTTTAATACATTTGTAAACCTCTACACAATCTACAGTTTTTTATTTTCATCATTTTTAAAAATGACCTATTAATTTTTACCAGTTAGATCTGTAGTATTCTAATCCACTGTGTTCTTGAGAGAGTGTGTAAATGACAGTGACAGTGCTCTAAAAACTGTAGAAATGAAGAGCTGAAAGGGATTTGGCTACTCTGGATTCCGTATAATGAGTTCTTGCTTCAGTTATAGCTCAGTTAAATTACCATATGATAATGGAGACTTTGAGTGATTTATCCTAAATAATTCCATAGACTGGAGCAGAGGTGTAATAGCTATATCAAGCTAGATGACTTGGGTTTGAACAGCACCTGAACTATCTGGGTTCATCTTGAGCAGGTTAGCTAATTATTCATTTAAGCATCTTCAGTTTTTTCATCTGCAAAATAATGATAAAAGTAGTCCTTATAGGACTTTTGTGAGGATTAAATAAATCTTTAGCAGAAATATACGATATGTATATATATATATATAGCAAGAGAGTGTAAAACACAGCTGCTATTATTATTATCATTGTTATGGTTCGGTTTCCAAAATATGGCTACAACATGCTCTTAGACACTCAAAAGCTATCCCCAACAGAATACATTTCCCAAATTATCACTTCTACCTTTCCTTCTTTTAATACAAATTATCTGGGCCAGCAGATGGCATGGTGGTTAAGGCGCTGGACCCCACATGGCCTACCGTGGCTGGAATCCCAGTCAGTGCCTTGTTTACTTTCTCTCTCTCTCTCTCTCTCTCTCTCTCTCTCTCTCACTCCCTCTCTCTCTCTGGTGAGTGCATGTAAAAAATAATAATAAAACTAAATAAATAAATAATATTTAAAAATATGAATTATCTTAGAAACTTGGAAAGGCATAAGAAATTCTCGCCTGTGATAACTCCATCTTGACCAAGAAATACTTTCTTTAATTTTTCTCTTACTTCCCACTCTCATGTCTGTAAATACTGTCTTGGACTGTTGGAAAAGTCTTGATGGATTTTTGCATAGAAAAACTATGTCATGATTTTTCCAACAACTCAATAGATAATATAAAAACTTGAATAAAAGTGATTTTAAAAATTAATATATATTTACTCCATTGTGTATCTTATTGAGATATTTTGAGGAACTTTTGAATACACTACTCTTGCTTTCACACATGGATGGCCTGACTGGAAAGAGCTAATATGCGTTGAAAGCTGCTTCCCATGCCTGGCGATAAGCATAACCCATGCATTTTGTTCAATTAGTAGGACTCAACAATCCTAATAGGTACTTACATTTTCTTTCAGTAGTATGTAGGGCTTACTAGGCCTAAAAGTAATGTGACATAAGAGTTAAACATTTTCTGTTTATATATGCAGGTTAGGAGTTCTTTGCAAAAATCATTCTGTAATTATTTCCTCTACAAATAGAGAGACAGTGAGACAGAGAGCAGTCACCTCCAGCAGGATTCTCACACTGTGACCCACCCCCAGCCTCCGCCAGCCCCAGATCGCAGGGATGCACTTCCCAGCATACGTATTCAGGGTGCTCTAGGTGAACCTGGAGCCTTCCATGCAGGTCAGCCTCACAGAGGGCTGTTACCGCGGCATCACTGAGTGACACCTTAATACCATGTTTTTATTACATAAAAGAATAAGAAAGAGATTTCCTTCTATGGTCGCCCTGTAAGATGTAAAATAATTTGTTTCCATCTTTATTAAAAAGAAGCAGCAATAATGTGTATGGTAAAGCCTTTGACTTGACTAATATCCACTGTATTCATGCTAGGGTGAAACCATGTCATATACTGAAAAGATGAATGGTGATTAAATGTAAAGAAAAAAATAAAGCGGAAGAGAGAAAGTTCTGAATTTGTATAAAAAATAATGTTTTGTTACTCATTCACCATAGCTGAAAAGTATAATCTTGAAGTTATGTTTTTACTTTATGGATTTCCAGGGAAGAAGTAAGTTAAACCCGTCTGAAGAAGACGCTGTGAAATGACTTGAGTACAAGTAGTTTGCTTAGAATTTGAGCTCATGAAGCAACTAGTGAGAGAATGGAGTATATGAGAAAGAAAGGGCAAAAAGCGATGGCATGTATATATAGTAAATATATATGTATACATATTATATATAGTATATGTAAATTAGTGAGCATAATAATGCAACAAACCCTTGCTTATGTGTAGAACCTCAGAATAGTCCCACTGCACAATGGAGAGACTGAGTCACGTGCACATTTATTCCACCCCTCATTGGCCCCCCCCCCGCCACTCTGGGTACCAAGTCCGGGCTGCGGACGCTCTTGAAGCACCCGAGGAAGTCCGCAGGCCGCAATGGGGGAAGTGGTCAGTGTGCTCAGCGCCGGGCCACCACACTGTGGCTTGGGCGATGTGGACTGTGCACCAGCAGCACACTACACGTACATACGGACTACGCAGGAAACACTGGGCGCTTTCTGCCACGACGACTAAGTGAAATTGATCAACTTCCCTGGAAGAGATACCTCCAGCTTCCGCCAACTCCAGATCACAGGGATGCGCGTGTGGGGTGTATTCAGGGAGCTCCAGGTGAACCTGGTCTTCCCATGCCGGGCAGCCTCAGAGCGTTGGAGGTCTTCCATTCCCTTAATGTCTTTGGAAAAGCCCCAGTTTTGTAGAAATAATAAAACAGAATTAGCAGGTAAAACCAATTCAGTTACGCTTACTGTATAATTTAAGTCATGGGGTGTGTGTGTGTGTGTGATTATATCAAGGTTCATGTTCATGTTATCACTACTAAATCTTTTATGCCTGGGACTCATTTCGTGGTAATTTTCTGCTTTCTTTTCTTCTGCACTTTGGTTACCAGTTTGAAAAATGTAACATTGAGAAGATGTGTCACACAATCTTTTTTTATTAGGCACAATCAAAACATGAATATGAGATTGGATCTTACTCAAAAAGGAGGAAAGTCGGCCATCGAAGCTACGCATATGTAATAGGCAGGGTTAGATTTATGCGTAGTCCCGTTCTTTGGGTAACGTATTGTAATCTGTTTCTGGTAGACAAGCAATCATTGATATCAATTTTCATCAGGTTTAAGAATCTGTTACAAAATTTTGTGAGATGAATAAGGCATTATTGAACCTGAAAGGGTGCTTGACAATAACTATAAAAATTAATATGGCTCTATTTTGTGCTACAAGATCATCATACAATACTGTCATTTACGCTAGCCTAGAGATTTACGCTTTAAATAACTTATTTGCAGGCCTTAATTGCATCTTCAATAGTAATGTCCTTTTTTATTAGGATGGAATTTTCCAGGAATGGGAGTTTCATATTTCAGTGTTTCAATTCCATCCTTTTTTGTTTCACATTGCAGTCTATAAAGGTTGGCTGATCTTAATGACAATAGCCTTCTTTAAATGGGGGAGAAGAATGACTGTGGCTTGGTTTAGTTCAGGTGTGTAACTGGAAGCTGTGTTACACGGCAACTAGGTTTCTCTTGAGGATTCATAGAAAACAACAGTTGGGTCTGCAGGTCCACAGAAATCACTTGAGAACAGTCTCCTATTGTGTAGAACTAGGAAAAGAAACATCATGGCTATATAAAGGGATTTTGTTTTTTGTTTTGATTCGACTCAGTTTCAATTCAAAGATAGGAGGGCTTGATTTTCTAAAGACCAATGATTACCTGTGGCTCTGACAAGTTATTTCACCTCCAAGGCTCAATGAGATCTTCAGTAATATCAGAGAAACAAGACCGACTCCATATAGTTTTGTGAGGATTGAACGTGAATGCATGTTAACTGCTTAAAACATGCCTGGTACATGGAAAGTCTTTGTAAATAATCATTGAGAATGTGAAATAATAAAATACTTAAATGATTTCACCTCTGGAGAAGAAACTGATGGCAATTAATGCAAATCTTCACATTTTTGAAAATCATATAGAGGTTATTTACAAAATATAAGTCAAATACAATTTTTGGACTCCCATGTAGTCAACCACAGTTTGAGTCCCGGACCCAGTGCCTTAAACTCATGCTGGGTGCATGTGTGTGCATGCCCAAGATCCCAAGAGGAGAATGAAAGAGAAGGGATTGTGGCATGGCTTCTCCCTTGGGGGTGATTTCTCGCTTTCTGTCTCTCTGTCTCTCTCTGTCTTTCTGGTGAGCGCATATGCCCTATAGCAAAAACCTCTCAAAAAGAAAAGAAACACACACACACACAAAAGGGTCAATTTGCAGCATAAATAAAATGGCTATTGAGTATTGAGTATTGAGAAAGACTACATGTATAATTTGGGGGGGGATGTTTCAAAAGACAGAATACAATTGTCTCTAGAATTGATTTCCTATGGTTATATGCCTGTGTGATACCCAAACACATAACATGACAGTCACTCATTTTGTACCTCAGTGTGTCTTCATAGCTTATTCTATCATTTTATTGATTTAAATTTTAGAGTTAAGAAGTAAGTTCTTTAAGTTCCTTATTGATAATCATGTGGGGAAGTTTTCAAACAGCTCATGGAAAATATATATTATAAAAACGTGCATGGATTTAAAACTTTTTTGCATCAAAATAGATTCATACTTTAGTTTCTTTCTTCCATGAACTTTTGAAAAAATAATTATTTTATTTATTATTACTATCGTTATTTTAACTCACTAGACAGAGACTGAGAAAACACAGGAAAGTGAGAAAATAAGCTACCAGGTCTGGGATCTGAACCACGCTTAGCTATGTGGGAACCCAGCGTCCTCATCACCACACCATCTGCTGGCCCCTTTCCATGAACTTTTTGAAGTCCCCGTCTACTTTAGAAGTGCATTATATGTTCTACTTCTTTTTTTAATTCATAGGAAACCAGATTTCTATTAAAACATCATATACTTTGCATAATTAAGTCAGTCACTTGAATAATCTAATTCATGTCTATACCAAAAAAATCTATTTTGAGCCTTTATTATTATTACTACTAATATTATTTTACCATTTTATTTATTTATTTATTTATTTATTTTAGAGACAGAGGCTACCTACACTGGCCTCAAATTTGCAATCCTCCTGTTTCAACCCCCTGAGTAGCGGGGACTCCAGATGCACACCACTATACCTGGTGTCTGGGGTGGTCCCGAATCAAACCCAGGCCTCCCATGTTGTCTCAGCCTTCTGAGTAGCATCCCAACAGCAGCGACTACCTCTGCTGGCCACCTCTGCTGGCCTATTTTAATCTTAAATAATCCTACTGTGTTTTTGCTGCCAGAGGTGTTGGGTCAGGTCAGGTCATCTGCATTGGAATCCTTATTCTAATACCACTTTTCTTTTCCCATTTGCAAAATTTTGCTTACTAGGGTAATTTTGAGAATGAAATGAAATAGCATGTGTAAAAACATAGAAACCTATGTTATATTCAGCACTTGGTAATTTATTAGTTTTATTTTTACCCCAATTATTTTATAACTATTGAGCAGCTTACCTTGGATATATATAATATAAAGAAAATGCTTCCTCTACTGCCCACCAAACATGAAAATACTGAATTACAGCATCACATTTTGTTCAGTCAAGTAATATTTATTTAGCTTCTGAGCAGGGTGAGACATTACACACTGAATAACAGAAATATAGTGATGATTCACGTACAACTTGTGTGTGGCTCCCATATGTTTTCAGCCAGATGTCTTTTTCTTCTTCTGTATAAGTAAATAAATAAATAAGTTGAATATCTACTCAAGAAACTGTGCTAAGCATTGTGCAGAAATCAATGAATTGAAAGATAAAGTATCCATCCTCAGTGACATTTATATTATGAGAGGAACTGAAAAATTTGTAAATATGCAAGAAACTGTGCTAAGCATTGTGCAGAAATCAATGAATTGAAAGATAAAGTATCCATCCTCAGTGACATATTATGAGAAGAACTGAAAAATTCGTAAATATGGTAACTCAAATAAAAATGCAAAAGCTCTCAAAATCATTATGATATTGGAATCAGCAGATGGCGTAATGATTACATTGCTGGACTCCCACATGGCCAGACCCAGAAACTGAAACTCACTGCAGGCACATGTGTGTGCATGCCCACAATCCTGAGAGGAGAATGGAGGAGAGAGGACTGTAGCATGGCCATCCACTGAGGGTGATTTCTTGCTCTCTGTCTCTCTGTCTCTATGCTGAGTGCACACACCCTATGGCAAACATCTCTTCTAAAAAGAAAAACAAAAAAATGATATTAATTTCTACAATAGTGATATAGAAAATGCACACTCTATAAACAGAGGGGAAAAGATTGTGGATTACAAGAGTTTTGATATTTTGCTTTTCATATCGATAATTCTCAAACTGATTTTAAAAGATGATTTTTTTATAAAATAATACACATTCAGGACCAGCAGTTAGCCTAATGACTATGTTGCTGGACTCCCATGTAGTCAACCACGGTTCAAGTCCCGGACCCGGTGGCTTAAGCTCTTGCCTGGCACGTGTGCATGCATGCCCAAGATCCTGAGAGGAGAATGGAGGAGAAGGGATTGCGGTGTGGCCATCCCCCCGGGGGATGATTTCTCACTTTTTATCTCTCTGTCTTTCTCTGTCTTTTTCGCAAGCACACGTGGCCTATAGCAAAAACCTCTCAAAATAAAAAAAAATACACATTCATTGTAAAAATGTAAGCAGTATGGAAAAGTAACAGAAAGACATACATCTGTCACAGTCCTATCACTGTTCTTTAGTCGCTGGTCTCTTTTATACTAAAGGACAATCCAGTTTTTCCTGCCTTATTTATGATGCAGTTTCTGCCTACCCTGATACTTTCCTTATTATAATGAGCACTGTTATTGTTGCCAATATTTACCTTAGTCTTTCTCTATAGCTTAGAATTTTATTACCAATCTTTTCATCTTGCTTATATTTTTCTTAACTCAGTTTAGGCTTCCTTTTGTTTAATATGCTCCAAATAAATTATCTTTGCAATTTCCCTCCCTATCTTTTCCCTCCAAGCTGTAGTCTGAAAGGTAGAACCTGTTCCAGGAAGGAGAACAATTCATCCGTGTGGTGCTCTAGTTGGAGACCCTGCGTGATAGTGAGACTATGTCCAACGTCCTCTGCAAGGCCTTCTTCTCCGCCCACACGCGTGGTTGGGTTTGTGTTACTTGACTGGTTTTCCCAGCTCAGCTTTGAGCCTGGCCTGATCACTTTCCAAAAGGCAGAGAGTGGGAGCCCAGCAGGTAGAGTAGTTGTAAAGGCACTGGGCTCCCATGTGGTTGGCTGTGGTTTAAGTCCTGGACCCAGTGGCTTGAAACTCACTCTGGCCACATGTGCATGCGTGCCCAAAATCCCAAGAGGAGAACGGAGGAGAAGGGATTGCAGAGTGGCCATCCACCAAGGGGGGTGGTTTCTCACTTTTTCTCTCTGCCTCACTCTGTATCCTCAGCGAACACACATGCCCAATAGCAAAAATCTCTCTTTGGGGAAAAAAAAGGGGGCAGAGAGAGAGGAGTACCCTAAGGGTTTTGGGACCCAGTTTTCTTCACCAGTACTGGTTCTGGGGTGGGAGATAGGTTTAGGATTACTCCACCGGAATCTTCCATTTATTCTATCGACAGAAAATTTGTAGTTTACGATGTGAAATAGTACCACTTCACTTGATTTCTGCTGTTGATGTTTTGAAAATATTTTATGTTTTGGTGATTATTTGGGGTGAAAATCCTATAATCTGACTTTATGTACCATTTTCACCAGGAAGAAAGAGCTTAAGGTCTTTTCATGTGAATTATTTTGTTCTGCCCCAAATTATTACCTTCATTATGTAGGCATAGTTTTTAAAACTTTCATTTAGCAAAAAAGGAAACTATGGCTGAAAGGACATAGAGACCATCATCTAGGTGAAATGGTTCCTGGTGGGATCATGCCGGCACCTCCTGTTCTGCCAGGAGGCCTCCGGCTGACTTCGGGTCGGCCTCCTATGGCGTCGTCGGGAAAGTCCTGACGCATTTTTGCATAGAAAAATTCATCATGACTTTAACGACAACCCAGTGCAGTGAGTAGCGGGCACATTCACACAAAGCATGATCTGCATCACACCACGGCCATTACTGTAGTCTACACGATTATGATAGGGACTATGTAAATTATGCTCTTGGTCTCCGGCACAAGCAAATGAATACATTGCTAAAAGAATATTCTTACTCTTTTAAGAACTAGCATAACCTGCTGTTGACATTTCAAATGTACAAGAAGTGATATATGATTTTCTTTTCTTTCCAGGAAATACAAAGGACATCATAGTGATATATGAAGAAGATGCTGAAGAATGGGCTTTGTATTTGAGGGAAGTTTTTTTACATGTTGTAAGGAGGGAAGCAATCTTGTTATATCGCTTGGAGAATTTCTCTCTTCGGCACTTGGAATTGCTAAGCTTACACTCTTACAAATGTAAGCTTTTGATATTATCAGATAGCCTGCTTAAAGGCCTAACTCCAAAGAAATGTCAGTTTCTGGAAAACGTACTTCATTCACCAAGAAGTGTGGTGACTCTGCTCTGTGGGGTGAAGAGTTCAGATCAGCTCTATAAATTGTTAAATCTCCCCAGAAGCAGGTGGGAGATCTCCACAGAGCAGGAGCCCGAGGACTACATCTCTGTGATCGAAGCCGTCATATCCGGAGGTAACGTGGCCAGAGCTTCTCTCTGTGCGTATTTGCTTCATTCTTAGTATTAAGACTTTCAAGTGTTTCTTTAACCAATGAATATTTCATGTGAAGATAAAAAGAAATGGAAGCCAACTTAACAGTAGGTTGTGTTTTCCACAAAATGCATGAATTCTTTGAGCTTTATTCCAGTTAATTATCAGTTCTAAAACCAGTTTGTCAACACATTCCTTAGGCCATCCTGTAGCAGAACAGGAGGATATGTGACATGTCACTCAGGTTCTGGAAGTTAGTGTCTTCTTTAGCTGCAGAGGCTTAAGTTAATGTCAAGCCCACAATGGTTACCAATGAGCAGCAGGTCAAAGTTTGAAGGGCTACATTAGCATGATGGAGCTTCTGTTAATTGTGTGATATCTACAATTACAATATGAAATACTCTTATTTTTTCATTCATTTTTAATAGGACATTTAATTTTAGACATATAACCCTATGTGAAACAGCAGAACACAAGGCCCTGTTCAGTACTGAATTACAACCCTGAGTGTGATTGTCCACACTCAGAAACTTACTAATGTTAAAGCTTCTCTCTTTCGTGGTTCTATTCTGCTTGACATGGAAGTGGGGCCAACTCAGCCATCTCCCCGGTTTTCACAACCTGTACTTTGCCTTTAATTCCCAGTCTCCAAGATGTGGTTCCATCCCCTACAGGAAAGGGGTGGGGCTATTATTTTATATTGGCACTATCACATATCAGATATTGGCTTTTGGGAGTTCTCTGAAGCTCTCCTGCAGTTCCTGTATGAAAGAAACATTTCCTCTTCTCCAAGCTCCTAGGTGGGCTGTCCAACCCACACAGATTTATGGTCTAGAAATCCCAGATGTGTTCCTCATGGTCAGATTCACCCTGAGCTCTCTCTTGGCTGGATGTTTCTCCCACCTGGCCTACAGGTGTCTGTAGAAACCTTCGTTTAGCTTCAGTCCTAACAATTCTGGGCATGGAAGCCACTCCCAGTGGAGACGCCACCCTTGTGCCACCTGCCTTCTGCCCTCAAAGCAGTGTTGCAGCCCCAGTTTCTTGCTTCAGTCATTCCAAACATGGCCCACACAGGTTCTGGTGCTCTGTGAGTTTAAGGATCACCTGCCAGTCCCAGATGGCTCACTGTAAGCCCTTCTCACTGGGCACAAGGTGGGCTATATCTCTCCCTCTCCCGCTGTGGGATAACAACTATGTGAAAAAACAGCCTCTCCTTATTTTCCAGCATGTTCCCACTCTCTCTCACTCTACCATTTTAAGCCTTGTTTTGAATATCTATTGTTGCATATTAAGTTTCTCTAAACTTTAGCAACTTAACAATAAGCAGTGATTATTTCTGTAGCTCAGGTATTTAGGAGCGGCTTAGTTGGGAGATTCCGAATCAGGGTGTGTCATGAGGTCAGGGACAGGCCGTCCAGAGCTAGAGTCATCTGCAGGCTCAGGAGAGAGAAACCTTATTCTAATGAGAGGCTTCCGCTGTTGGCAAGCTCCTTTGTAATTGTGTTTTTAATCATTTCTTGATGCCTGAAGGTTGCCTCTACTGTAATAGACTGAAGAAGGTCCCTGGGAAGCTACGTTTCTGAGTTTTCATGTCTGGCGTTGGTCTCCTGCCTTACACTTGAAATATAGTTTACCTGAGAACATCATTGCTCTCGTCCTTCCGGAATTATAGAATTTAGAGAATTTGTATTTGCCTGGCTGACTAAAGGATTTTTCATTTATATTTGGAGTCTACATTTTGCCAGAATTTTATCCCAGTGCTGACAGTTCTGATTATTTTGCCCAGAGACAGGCCTTCTGTTTTCGTTGTCATTTCCCCAAACGTAGGTTCAAGACTTTCATTTGAGGAACTTTCTTTTTTTACTTATATCTAAATAAAATATAATTATGGTTTTTATTTTCCAGGGATTCCTCTTATATGCATTTTGAGTTTCTTTTGTGTGTAACACACACTGTGATTTCTTTTTAATCCTTTTTGTTTCTTTATGACAATCTAACTCGCTTATTTTGCATTTTCACTTCAACCCTAGCCTCACTTCACTTCAACCCACTTCTGCTTTCCATATTCCATCTTCCTCCGTTCCTGCCAATTTCTCTTTCATTCTTATACTACTTTTACTTCTTTCCATTGTGCCATTTGGTTGAGCACTTAAAGCTTAAAGTCAGTCCTTGTCCTTGTCCTGCTCACTTCTCCCTGTCACCTGTCGTTTCTGCACTGTGCAGTTACTTCGAAAAGGGACTGGTATTTATTGCATTTTAAAAAGCCATGGTGAGGGACCAGCAGTTAGTGTAATGCGATGTCGCTGGACTCCCATGTAGTTGACTGCGGTTTGAGTCCTGGACCCGGTGACTTAAACTCATGCTGGGCATGTGTGCGTGTATGCCCAAGATCCCAAGAGGAGAATGGAGGAGAAGGGATTGGCGGCGTGGCTAACCCCCCTGGGGGGTGATTTCTCGCTTTCTGTTTCTCTCTATCTTTCTGGCGAGCGTACACACCCTATAGCGAAAACTTAAAAAAAAAAAAAAAAAAGAATCCGTGGTGAAATGTTTAGTCACGATTTTAAACTTTCTGTATATTCTCTCATTTAGCCAAATTTTGCTTTCTGGAAACCAACTGCTCCCACTGCAAACTGTCCCACCACATCTACAGTTAAAACAGGGCATGTGCCCTCAGCGTTAGGGGAAATTGTTCATTAGCTTTTCTTGAAATCTACAGCTTCTTGGTAATTTCTTTAAGTTTTTTCCCCCCCTCTCTGTTTCCTCCTATACACCCTTCTGCTTAATTGTCACTGATTTTAGAACCTTTCCATTGATCTGGGTCTAGGATTTCAGGGTCTCCTGTTTTCATTACCTAGGGCATTTGCATAATTATTTCCCACTGTCTACATGGTAGATGATTTCTGGGAATGAAAAGGAGAAATACTGGCCCTATACTAAAATTTTCAATCTGTACCTTCTTATGAGCTCTTTTTAGCATTCCTCAAGTATACAAAGTTTTTTCTTCTTTTTTGAAAGGAAAACAAATGTCAAAATTGGAAAATTATGGAGAAAACTATAAAAAGTACACAGAGAGTACAATTATGTGCTACTTTTCTCCCTTGAGACAAAGGAGCTAATAATTTGTGTCAAAATTCTCAGTGGCTCTTCACTCCCATAATTTCTATTTCCTTGAAGATATTTCCTTGAAGATATTTATTTTTGGCCACTTAAACAATAATGCCAATAGTGTGTAAAAATGTTGAAGAAATACCTTTTTATTGTTTCAGTTATCTTGTTTTATTATGAGTACCTTTGGGTGCTGTTTCTTCAAATTTATTTCCATTCTTATTTGTCAGGAAAACACACACACACACACACACACACACACACATATTACAGCTTTGAAAACACTATTAGCTCTCATTTTCTTCCATTCAAGTTGTGGACTCTGATTTTTTTAGGTGTGCCAAATGGAAAATAAAGCCATATTATCTGAAAAAGAGTATTTAAATATGAAATATTTGCCTGCACTCCAAGAATGCCACCAGGACACAGGTCCATAAGCAATTTCTAAGTCATGCATTAAATAACTTTGTGGGTTGTGACCCTTAACAAATTGATAGTGTTATATTACTGCTATAGGAAGTAATTCCTTTTTATAAAAAAATAAACAGCATACATGGTCTGGTAAATTATTTTATGTTTCCTATTGACATTTGTGTTGAATACAGAAAATCTGGTTTTCAAAACTGGGGACAGGTAAAAAGTGGGTGATATAGGACGAAAGATGTGGAATTCAAGATTTACTGTCCCCTTTTACCTCCCTTTATCACATGTAGAAATAACACAAGAATAAAAGAAGCCTATTAATTCGGAAACATGCTGTGATAAGGATAATAGTTAAAATGCCAAGAAAGTCAGAGGAATAAATGTTCTCAGATAGTCAAATAAGACAGAGAAAAATCAGAGGAAATGTTACAAAATGTAATGAAAGAGAAAGATATTTTATAATTAATCAAGGCTCTAGAGGAAAGATTTTAATATTAAAAAAGATTTTTAAAAAGAGTTGGTAATTCATCTTTCATCAGAGTGTTTTATTTCCTTTTGAGAAATTAAGAAACCTAAATTCCCTGCCCCTTTAATTCTCAAATTCCCTGCCCCCTTAAATCTATGTCTTTCCACCTCTCTGTTGTTCTAGAACCACTTTGACTTCACTTCTTCTTCTTTTAGTTTTTAAGCCATGCCTTCCCTTATTTTGGGTTCTTTACCCAATGTTCTCCTAGTGTTTTCATAACTAGACGTTTCATATAGCATCATGTATATGCAGTACAAAATAACCTGACCGCAAATGTATATACAGTCAACCGACATTTGTAAGTATCACCACAGAGGACTTTAGACTTCCTGGGAAGAACAAGGTCACCAGTTTCTATGGTCATGATGCACGCATAGGGCCACCTTCCTGCTGTGTCTGTCCCTTACTCTGTCACTTTCGACTCTGTCCCATTCAGATACTTGGGCTTGCCAACAGCTCTCTCTATGGTTTACTTCCTCATGTTTTCTTCATTATCAAATCAATAGAACAGTGGCGGAAAACATTTGAATTCTTCAATGAAGACTCTTGTCATTTAATTTTGTTTTTATATTGGTAATATAAACCAAGGATATCAAATGTTTAGCTTTATTATACTTTAAAAGAAGACACAGAGAATGAAGAGCAGCGTTATAATAGTGTTATAGGCAAACTAAATTCAGCTGCTGCTTCTCATCATCCATGAAATGAGAGGCAGAGTCTGGAGAAGAAGGGAGTTTATTCTGTAACTAGTCACAGAGATACAGAAAGTAAGTGTCGGGTTGGTGGAACAGTCACAAATAGAAAAACACACCATGACTTTTCCAATGACCCAATAGTTTCAAACTATCTTAAAAGGCTCAACATGTTCTCGGTATTTATAGATACAAGCACGTGCGAATCATTCCTCACTGTCTGCTTCAGATTGATCG